GGAGGAAAAGGCCCGGAGATGCCCCCGGAGGAGGGGCTGCAAAGCCAGCCCAGGGAGCTGTGAGGAGGAAAGAGCCGTCCTGTGCCGGGAAGGCGGCCGGAGCTTGAGCCGGAGCTCCGAGCTGGTGGTCCCTGAGCAGCCTCCCAGCAGGGAGAAGCCCTTCAGGTGCTTGGAATGTGGGAAGAGCTTTAAGAAGAGCTCAAACCTCCTCAGCCACCAGAACATCCACACTGGGGTACGCCCCTACACATGTGGGGAATGTGGGAAGAGCTTCAGGGACAGTTCCACCCTGATCCGACACCAGCGCATCCACACTGGGGAACAGCCCTACACATGTCAGGAATGTGGGAAGAGCTTCAGGCACAGGTCCAACCTCTGCAGGCACCAGCTCATCCACAGTGGGGAACGGCCCCACACGTGTGGGCAATGTGGGAAGAGCTTCACTGATAGATCCAGCCTGATTAAACACCAAGGTATCCACACTGGGGAGAGGCCCTACAAGTGCTTGGAATGTGGGAAGAGGTTTAGGACCAGCACACATCTCCTCGTCCATGAGCGGATACACACACAGGAGAGGCCCTTCCGCTGCACCGACTGCGGGAAGGGCTTCAACCTGAACTCCACCCTCATCAAACACCAGCGCATCCACACCGGGGAGAGGCCCTACAAGTGTGAGGAGTGTGGGAAGAGCTTCAGCGACAGCTCCAACTTGACCAGACACCAACGGACCCACCGGTAAATGAAGCCCTACAAGTGCTCGACTGTGAGAAGAGCTTCAGTCACTGCTCCCACCCCGAATGACCCCCCTGATGGTGAGGCAACCCCTGGAGTCCAGGGACTGTCAGTCCATCCCTTTCTACCAGAAAGGGCCAGTCCCCTTTGCCAGGGGCAGGTTGTGCCAACAGAACCCTTCTTGGGGGGTGTGTGGAGATTCCTGCCTTGGCTGGGGCCCCCCAAGGTCAGTGCTGGAGGTTGAGAGCAGAGATCTCCCCACGAGCGTTGGTCTGGGGGAGTTCCATCCCTCTCTAATTCATAATTCTTGCTTTGGTGCCAGCTTGAGTAGAATTGCTTCAACAATTGCTTTAGTGTAGAGCACTGTCCTATCTTCTGCTGTCCTACTGGTAGTTGTAGTGTTTCTATTGTGCAGTAAATAATTCTGATGAAGATCTTTAGTCTAATCATTTGTAACCCTAAATAATTCATTTCTATCAATAGATCTGAATGGCCATCATTAAAGCCCTGGGGGACAAAAGTGGTTCAGTCCCACCTCTGTAATTCCTCTAAACTGAACCTGTTGGCATAACCCAAGGCTGAGATTGGATCCAGCAGCCCCAGCACCTCACAGTCAGTTGAGAGCTCTGGCAGGCACCACCCTTTCCCCACTCCCTTTTGCCCGAAGACCCCCATGGGACCATCAGACCTGCCAGACCACTCCCCCTTTTCCACCCTTCTCCCTTTTCCCTCCAATTTTTAATGGTCCTCAATCCCCAGCCCCTGCCAGATAATTATAGGGGTCCCAACCCCCACATTTTCCCCTCTCTTCCACTTTTCCACATCATCCCCCACTCCCCAGCCCCGTCATGCTCAGTTTGGGGGTCCCACCCTGCCCTTTCCCCACTCTTCTCAACTTTCCCACCCATTTCCCATGAACCTCAGTGCCCCTTCCCCTCCACTTTTGGAGGGTCCCACTCCCCTCCCACTCAGTTTGGGGTCCCACCACCCCTTTTATCCCCTCTGACCCCCCTTTTCCCACCGACCTCCCCCTTCCCACCCCCCGCTCACCCGAGAGCTCCTCGCCCGCAGCCGGGGGGGCTCCCAGCACCCCCAGTGCACACAGCATTAGCTCTTTCTGCTTCCATGATCGCTTCTTTGATGGCT